TGTCCCTCTGCAGTGCTGGTGAGTCCCTACGGGCTCAACGGGACCCTCACGGGCCAGTCCTACAAGATGTCTGACCCAGCCACGAGGAAGCTGATGGAGGAGTGGCAGTACTTCTACCCCATGGTGCTGAAGAAGAAAGAAGGCATGAAAGAGGAGGAGGAGCTGGGCTATGACAACGATTTCCCCGTGGCAGTCGAAGTCATTGTTGGTGAGTTTCAATATTTTCCTCCTCGTGATTTGGGGGGGAGATCTAATTAATCAAAACCAGCCATTATAATTTTCCTATATTCTCACGTAGCTCTCTTGACACTGGAACATCTGACTAGTTATCTTGCCTCAAGCTTTTGTACTCCCTGTATCCCACATGCTATTATTCACAGTACTGAGCTGCTTGTCTCGGCTCAGTCCTGGTTGCAGAGGGTTAGATGTGTATTAGGATGGAAATTCCTCGGCCCTTTTGATATTTCACATGATAAGTTTTGTCAAATCGACGTTGGAAACAAGTGCAAGTGGCTGAGGATGCTGGATATGATCAGTTGTGTTTAAGACTCGTGGTTTTCCCTCCCTCTCTCTCTCTGCAGGTGGTGTGAGGATGGTGTATCCTTCAGCCTTTGTTCTCATCTCCCAGAGTGACATCCCCGTGTCACAGAGCGCTGCCAGCGCCGGAGGCCACGGGAATGTGGGACAGCAGGGGCTGGGAAGCGTGAAGGATCCTGCCAGTACCTGTGGGATGCCACTCACTCCCCCCACCTCTCCAGAGCAGGCTGTTCTGGGTGAGCACTGAGCCTGGGGCAGGGAGGGGTGGGATGTGAACAGGGGCACATCAAAGGCAGGCAGGGGACTGAGAGTTAGGGGAGAACTTTTGCTGTAGCCAAGGCTTAAAACGCCCCCAAAGAAGACACACCTTTAAACAGGGCTTGGAGAATTCAGTTAAGCTCCATTTTCTGTAAGTGCATCATCTCTGTCCAGTGGTGCAAAGACCTGAGAGCCTGGATTCTGACAGTGGTTTAGGCAGAGTTTGCCAGTTTATGAAGTGTTGGTGTCCTTGTTGGGAGGGTGTTGATTCTTTGTGGCACAAGAGCACAGTGAATTTCCCCTTGGAGAGGGGGAATTTAGGCTTGATATTGGGAAGAAATTCTTCCCTGTGAGGGTAGTGGGGCCCTGGCACAGGTTGCCCAGAGAAGCTGTGGCTGCCTCTGGATCCCTGGAAGTGTCCAAGGCCAGGGTGGATAAACTTGGAGCAACCTTGGATAGTGGGAGGTGTCCCTGCCCATGGCAGGGGGTAGAACGAAATGGGCTTTAAGGTCCTTCCAACCCAAACCTTTGTGTGATCCTGTACAAGAGTAGGTAGCTCTTTTTATAAAGAACTAGAAATTCAGCACTTAACTAAGCACTTATGTTGGTAT